GCCCTTGAATTGTGGTGTTAGCAAAGAATATTGAATATACCATGGACTGCCAAAAGAACGAACAAATCTGTCTTGGAAGAAGTACAACCAGAATGCCCTTTAGAAGTGAGGATGACGAGACTACGTCTTACATACTTTGGACATGTTGTCAGGAGGGATCAGTCCCTGGAGAAGGACATCCTGCTTGGTAAAGTAGAGGGTCAGTGAAAAAGAGGAAGACACTCAGCGAGATGGATTGAAACAGTGGCTCCAACAATGGGCTCAAGCATAACAACGATTGTGAGCATGGCACAGGACCAGGCAATGTTTTCGTTCTGTAGTACATAGGGTCACTATGAGTCGGAACCAACTCGATGGCACCTAACAACAACAACACCTTGTTATTGGAGTCCTGGTAGCCACGGCTGGTAGTTCAAATACACCAGCTACTCCTTGGAAACCCTATGGGGCAGTTCTACTCTGTCCTGTAGGGTCACTATAGGGTCACGATGAGTCAGACTTGACAGCAATAGGTTTGGTTTTTGGGTTTTTTTTTTACCTCACTATTAACACAACTCCAGATTATATTTCTATTTCATGCATTTTTCCACCAACATCCTTTTTCTGGCCCAGGACATTGCACTTGCTCCTCACGCCTCCTCACCCGTTGTTGTCAAATCAATTCTGACTCATATCGACCCCAAAGGGTTAGTAGAACTGCCCCATAGCGTTTCCAAGGCTGTAATCTTTATGGTGGCACAGTGGCTAAGAGCTCCGCTGCTAACCAAAAGGTCGGCAATTGGAATCCACCAGCCGCCTTTGAAAACCCTGTGGGGCAATTCTACTCTGTCCTACAGTGTCGCTATGAGTCGGAATAGACTCGATGGCAATGGGTTTGGTTTTGGTTTTGGGATTTTTATGGAAGCAAACTGCCACATCTTTATCCCACGGAGGGGGTGGTGGGTTAGCAGCTGAGCACTTAACCACTGCGCCACCAGGGCTCCTTTCATGCCTCCAATAGTGTACTCCTATCTGTGACCTTTCCCTGTTTTTCATGATCCCTTTGGAAGAGTACTGGTCAGGTATTTTGTAGAATATCCCTCGATTTGGGTTTGTCTGGTGTTTTTCTCATGATTACACTGGGGTTAGGGGTTGTCGGGAGGAAGAGCACAGAAATGAGGTGCCCTCCTCATCACAGGGCCACGTGATGCCCACATGACATCCCTAGTGATAGGGACCTTAAACATTTGGTTAAGGTGGTGTCTGCCAGGTGTCTCCACTTAGTTATTATTATTATTATTTTGCCTTTCCACTGAGCCCACACTCAAATGCTGGAAAGGGGAGTATCTACTTGCATTATTTGGCCTTCTCCTGATAGAAGATTCTGACCCTTCTCCCCTAACACCCATTTTAAACACCAGGAAACTGAGGTTGAAGACAGACTTCCTTACTAGAGCCCGGCCCAGGGGGAGGCCTCACTCAGCACTGTGACCCGGGGCTGTGGGCCCCGAGTGTGGAAGGCAGGGGGCGACTCGCGGCTGACTTAAGAAGGGAGGCCTAATCGGGTCCCCAGCTGCCCTCCCCGGCCCAACACGTCCGTCTGGGCTGCCCTCTTGGGTTCGTTATCCCCATTTTACAGATTAAAAACCCTGTGGCTGGGAGGCGGCGGCGGGGAAGGATTCCAGGGTGCGGCCTGCCAGGCAGGTAGGAAGTGCTGGGCCCGGGCCGCAGGGCGGGCTCCTGGGGGCGGGGAGGCAGAGTACCGAGTGGCCCGGCTCTCCCGGGCCCGTGGGCAGGGCGGGCCGGCTGCCTCCTCCTTAAAGCCGGGCAGCCCAGACGCGAGCGTCCCACGCCCGTGCGTCGCTTCGGCAAGTTGGCTCCGGCGAGAGCGACCGGCCCGGCCCGCAGCCCAGCCGCCCTTAGGTGAGGCCGGCCGACGGGGTGGCGGGCGGTGTGGACCGAGACAGCAGCCCGGCAGCCCTCGTCGCCGCGCCGCGCCGCGCCTCCGGGGGAGAGGTCTCCGCCTGCCCTCTTGACCCACTTCCTTCCTTTTTGTCCCAGCCTGGGCGTGGGGGGGGGGTAGCCAGGCAAGTCTGAGCCTGTGTCCTGGTCTTAGCATGAGGAGGTCCCCTATCATCCGCCCCAAAAGGGACTGTAGGGACTCGTCGTGAGGGTGCAAGTGAAGTGCCCGGGGCTCGGAGTAAGCACTCAGCAAGTCCTCCGGAAGAGGGAGGAAGAGAGGTGACGAGCAGGTCTTTAGAGGCTGCAGGTGCAGGGGCCCCAACTGTGGGTCCTGTCCTCCTGCCCTCAGAGGCTGTGGTCACATGGAGGGCCTGCAGGCAGCTCCAGAGGGCAGAGGGGTAAAGGCTATAGTCACATGGCTTGTCACCAGCTGCCTCCTGCCTGTGTTCCTCCTTCAGGAATGGGGGAGGGTGGGACAGAGGGTGGGAACTTCCCGGAAAACTGAAGCTGTGGTTTGTTTTGCGTGTGTTGGCCGGGGCGCACTGGGACACACAGAATCGCACACTCAGATGCTGTCAAACACACATCACATCACACACCAGACACACAAGTCAGACACAGTACAGACACAACATGGCCATATACAGGCACTCGGACACAGACACACACACAACACGACTCAGGACACACACACCCCCGTCTACACAGACACCCTCACAGCCCCTCATGAGCACTCAGGCACACATCACAGAGACACACGCGGGCCTGGGGCCACGCACATCTCCACAGACACAGGACTCTCAGGCACCCTCAACAGAGACAGACAGCCCTTAGAGGACACAGACACACAAGCCGTGTCTTGGGCACACGATACAGCAGACACCGCTGCATGTGAAAGGAGGACGCACGGGGCGCCTTGGGCCCATAACACGAACAAGTTCATGGGGCAGACACAGAGGCTGTGCAGGCGTGCACAGCTGCACCCCAAGATGCCTCAGGCAGGCACGACTGCACACGTGTGCCCAGACCCCCACCCCCAAATCCCACGTGCTGTGCTGGAGAAGTCCAGTGCTCACGTGACCCATGGGGAGGGCTTCTGGAACACTCAGCGGAGAAACTGCATCATCCCCACTAACAATCCGATCCACTTCCACCTCCAGGGAATAAAGGCTCGGTGCCTGCCGTTTCTGCCTTGGAGCCCACCTGCCTGTTGGAAACCTCACTGACTGGCTTGTGCCTCCCCTAGGGTGAGTGTTGGGCAGGAGGCCCAAATCCAGCTGGGCAGGGATAAGGGAGGGCCGAGTGGGCTTGCATAAGCTCCCCTGCCCAGCCCCTCACTGGGCCCTGCCTCCCCTGACCCTCCTGGCCAGCTCTTGCTGTGGTGTCCTGGGAACTGGGGCACTGAAGTGCTCCCGCTGGGCCAGCGCTGCAGGGAGCGGTCCTCCCTCCCTCAGAGCAGGGCAGAAAGGGGGTCTCAAGGGCTTGTCGCCCGTGCTACAGCCCCAGGCCTCCAGACGCACATCTCTCCCCTCCCAGATGGACACATGGACAGCACTGCTGACCCTCGTCCTGCAAGCCTCCTTGGTGCTCCCCCTGGCAGAGAGTGCTGCCCCTGCCCTGCGCTTTGTGGCCGTGGGTGACTGGGGAGGGGTCCCCAATGCTCCGTTCTACACAGCCCGGGAAGTGGCCAGTGCCAAGGAGATTGCAAGGACTGTGCAGACCCTGGGTGCAGACTTCATCCTGTCCTTGGGGGACAACTTCTACTTTAGTGGCGTGCAGGATGTCAATGACAAGAGGTTCCAGGTATGTGCCCACTGGGTTCCTGGGGTGGCGGGGAGGGGGCAGCAGGGAGAAGCCACTTGACCTGGTGGCCCTCCTCAGGAGAGGGTGGAGGGAAGCAGACAGGGCACCTGCAGGTACCTGGAGCTCTCGGTGACCCTCATATCCCTTGCCCCTGGGAGTACCGGGTAGCTGCTTGACCCAAGGTGTGGCGGGGGGGGTGACCTTTCTGTCTCCTGCAGGAAACCTTTGAGGATGTCTTCTCTGCCCGCTCTCTTCACAACGTGCCCTGGTATGTGCTGGCCGGAAACCATGACCACCTTGGCAACGTCTCAGCACAGATTGCCTACTCCAAGATCTCCAAGCGCTGGTGAGCCTGCCCACCTCACCCCACCCAGACATGCACTCAGGTGGACAAAGAGGCCCTTTGGCCTGATCTGAGCCACCCCCAAGGCTGCTTTGCCCAAGATGTCTGCCCACAGCTTCTCTCCCCTCCACAGGAACTTCCCCAGTCCTTACTACCGCCTGCGCTTCAAGGTCCCACGGACCAATGTATCTCTGGCCATCTTCATGCTGGACACAGTGACCTTGTGTGGCAACTCAGATGATTTCCTCAGCCAGCAGCCTGAGAGGCCCCGAGACCTGATGCTGGCCCGAACCCAGCTGTCTTGGCTCAAAAAGCAGCTGGCAGCAGCCAAGGAAGACTACGTGCTGATAGCTGGCCACTATCCAGTGTGGTCCATAGCCGAACATGGGCCCACCCGCTGCCTTGTCAAGCAGCTGCAGCCACTGCTGGCCACGTACGGGGTCATTGCCTACCTCTGTGGTCACGACCACAACCTGCAGGTAAGGGGCCTGTGGGAGGGCTGGGGAGCCAGGTGAGGGGAACCAACCCCAGCCAATGTGCCACATGCTATTTGGGGCCTTCCCATGGACTCACAAATGTCAACACTTTCCCTCGAATTCTGTGCAGTCTACAGAAAAACACGCCAACGCTCCCTAAAAAAAAAAAAAAATCCGTTGCCATTGAATCGATTCCAACTCATAACAACCATATAGGACAGAGTAGAACTTCCCCATAGGGTTTCCAAGGCTGTAATCTTTACGAAAGTAGACTGCCACATCTTTTCTCCTGCAGAGCAGCTGGTGGGTCAGATCGCTGACCTTTTGGTTAGCAGCCGAGCGCTTAACCACCGCACCACCACAGCTCCTTGTCAAAGCTCCCTAAAAGCCATAATGATAGCTACCGTTTTCCAGTTGCTTACTTGGTGCTCTACCTGTGAAGTAGGAACTTCTACAGTTGGGGAAACTGAGGCACAGAAGGGTTAAGTACCTTGCCCAAGGTGACTCTCTGGTCAGAAACAGACCTAACCCTGGACCTGAGGCTGGCGGTCATGGTGGGTGAGGAGCTCCACTGAGCCCTGTGTCCTCCCGCCTGCAGTACCTTCAGGATGAGAAGGGCGTGGGCTACGTGCTGAGTGGAGCCGGGAACTTCATGGACCCCTCAAAACGGCACCAGCGCAAAGTCCCTAATGGCTACCTGCGCTTCCACTACGGGGTCGAGGACTCGCTGGGCGGCTTCGCCTACATAGAGATCAGCCCCAAGGAAATGAGCGTCACTTTCATCGAGGCTTCGGGCAAGTCCCTCTTCAAGACCAGCTTGCCCAGACGACCCAGACCCTGAGCCCCATGGGGGCCCTGCTCTGAGTCCTGAGGCAAAGGGGCCTCCCACCAGTGGGTAGGTCAGCCCTACTGGGCGCCCTCACGCACAGGCAGGCTTTTCCTCAGGTCTGTGGTGCTGGGGGCAGAGCAGGAACGAGAACCACAACTAAGGAACTGTGGTGCCATGTGGCACTGTGTCCCGGATGCCCAAGGATGTGAAAGAGGCATGGACACGTGTATGGGCCAGAGTGCTACACCTGGTGGCTGGGCTTGCGGGGCGGGGGCAGGGAGCAGAAGCTTTCTCCTGAATCAAGCCCCCTTCTGTCACTGCCATTCAATAAAAGAATCGTTGCTAAGGCCTAGCGTGTGCCCCGAGCATCTCTCCTCTCCTCGCTGGCAAGTTGTCAGCACTCCCCTCAAGTTGCTGCTCTGCGCCTCCATCTCTTAGCCCAACCCATAGCCAACTGGCCTCACATGTGGATGTGATTTTAAGTAAAAAACCAATCAGAAAGAAGAGTATAGCACAAAGCAAGTCTCCCCCCCGCCCGAGGCCAGACAGGGCAGCCCCTGGTCCGCCTCCCCAGCGGCAACCACCAGGATGGTTTTGTTTCCTTCCACGGTCAATGCTTCCAACACTAAAAACGTCTCCCTTTTTTACACAATATGCACATAGTTCTGCACTTGTTCTTCCTACTTAACCCCAACTCTTACATTGTTCGTATCAGAACATTCACTGCTGCTATCAGAACATTCATTCTTGTCAATTTAAATCTGGAATCAGTAATACATTCATGTTCCTTGTTGTTGTTAGGTGCCATTGAGTCCATTTCAACTCACAGCAACCCTACAGGACAGAGTAGAACTGCCCCATAGGGTTTCCAAGGCTATAAATCTGTACAGAAGCAGACTGCCACATCTTTCTCCCATGGAGAAGCTGGTGGGTTCAAACCGCTAACCTTTCGGTTAGCAGCTGAGTGCTTAACCACTGCACTACCAGGGCTCCTACTGAGGTATAATTGACATATTTTAAGTGTACAGTTCAATAAGCTTTGACAAATGCATGCACCCACAGACCCACCACCACAATCAAGATGTAGAACATTTCCAAAACCCCCAAAAGATCAAACTTGCCATATCTACTTGTTATGCCCTGGAGAGCTACCCGTCGGCCCTGGGGAGAGCCCTGGTGCTCCACCTGCAGCCACAGAGACCCTGCTGTTAGCCTATGCCATTGTTTATCAAACTGCTTGCCTATTAAGGGCCACCTGAATTGCTTCCAACAATTTTTGCTATCCTCAAACAATGCTGGAAGGGAAAAAGGCTCTATATTTGTTTCCTACGTTTGCAGATATGTTTGTAAAATAAACAGGATAAATTCCCAGGAGTATGGTTGCCTTTCTTTTCAGCAGCCACGGAGCTCCCGCCTGAGGTCACCAGCTCCTTGCTGGTGCCTGTTGTGATCTTTTCTAATCTTCCCCTCTTACAAACAAAGCTGCAGTAGACGTCCCTGGACCCATTGTGAGGGATCCTGCCCACAAAGGACTCTAGGAGAGATCCAGAGTACCTTCCTGGGCAAGTGACCTGGGCCGGGAAAAAACACGCCACACACCTGACTTCGTGGTAACATCATTGGAACCCATTAACTAGTACAAAAACAATACCATGCGTCAGAAATTAAACATGTTGTTTCCTGGTCCCCCTTCACAAATCCTTGCACGTAAGCACTAGGTATCTAGACCCCCCTCACACACTGCGTGCGCAGACCTCTATCGGGTGACACTCGACGTTTCACTGTCGGTCGCGAGAATCTTGACATTGACCTCTGTATGTAAGTTCCCTAACAAAGCCTTGTCTGATCAACCTAGCTTTTTCCGCCTCTTTTTTCGGAATCCAATCTGTGTCCCTCGGAGCCACTCCTGCCGCTGGTCTAGTGGGGTGAAACACCCACACTTTTGTACATCTGTGCAAGTACATACGCAGGAAAACTTCTAGAAGCAGAATGATTTCAGGGGGCCTGTTTCTTACAATAAACATTGAAAGCAGTGTGCTCACTGTGGGCTGAAAGCTGGCGGGGAGCTCAGTTCCCCTTTCAGGAGAGTTGTGTAACACTCCCCAACAGACAGCCCTAGCACAAGGCACCTCGTAGAAACTACTCTCCAGCCCTGCCGTCAACTACCACTTCAGCTGTGACAGGGCAGGGACTTGACTGTTTGGCTCCAGCTGCCAGCCCAGCTGAGTGAAATGAAATATCAACCTGGACAAAATGTAACTGAGGTTCCTTCTGGGGAGAAAGACTTGGTAGAAATGGCACCTCCTGTTTGCTACTTTATTTAAAAAAAAAAAAAAAAAAAGTTGCTGTCCAGTCAATTCCAACTCATAGTGACCCTATAGGACACAGTAGAACTGCCCCATAGGGTTTCTAAGGAGCAATCGGTGGATTTGAACTGTGAACCTTTGGTTAGCAGACAAGCTCTTAACTACCATGCCACCAGGGCTCAGTGCCATTTTACAGAGGTCAATAATGTTGAATTTGTTACAAGGTGCATGTGTTACTGTTATAATTAAACAAAACTATCTTACTAAAATGTCAGCCCTGAGTTCATTCTAGTTGTACCTTACCCAGCATTACTACCAGACAAGCTCTATGCTTAAAAAAATGCCATGAAGGCAGGGGCCAGACAAGTTCTACGCTTTAAAAAAAAGTCATAGAGCCAGGGGCCAGAATCACCCCTATTCCTCAGTGGACATTACAGAGGGAAAGCTATTGTCCCAAGGTTATGGCCAGGAAATGGCAGACCATCAATCTTAACCACTGACTCACAGGCTCAGGGCAGGCAGGGATCTGAATCAGAGGTCACCTTAGTCCAACATCCCCATTCTCAGTGGAAGGTCTCAGAGTGCAGAAAGGGGAAGTGACACATCCCAAGTCACAGGAGGAATGAATGGCAGGGAGGGGGGATTGAAACCCAGGCCCCCTTCTCCACATCAACCAAGAGCTTCTACCAAGCGCCAAGGACCAAAGCCCTGTGCCAGGCAGCTGGGGACACAAGGAGCACCAAGAGGAATAAGGCAGGATGGGCACTGTCTTAGTTATCTAGTGCTGCTATAACAGAAATACCCCAGTGAATAGCTTCAACAAACAGAAGTTTATTCTCTCACAGGCTAGTAGGCTACAAGTCTGAATTCAGGGCGTCAGTTCCAGGGAAAGGCTTTCTCTCTCTGTCGGCTCTGGAGGAAGGTCCTTGTCATCAATCTTACCCTGGTCAAGGAGCTTCTCAGCGCAGGGAGCTTCGGTCCAAAGGATGCGCTCTGCTCCTGGCACACTTTCTTGGTGGTATGAGGTCCCCCTGTCTCTCTGTTCTCTCTTTTGTATCAGAAAAGAGATTGATTCAAGATACAACCTAATCTTATAGATTGAGTCTTGCCTCTTTAACATCATAGAGGTAGGATTTACAACACATAGGAAAATCACATCAGATGACAAAATGGTGGACAATCACACAACACTGGGAATAATGGCCTAGCCAATTTGGTATACATTTTGGGGGGACATAATTCAAAACATAATAGGCACTCACCCTCAGGTGGCTTCCATTCAGCTGGGGGGGAGGACAATGCTAGCTAACCCACAGTCATTATTAGAAAGTCTTATTGAGCAACCACACCTTATTTCAACCATCACCAATATTATCACTGATAATATCATCTCCCAACTCCAGCCCTTACATTGGGTACTGAGACAGTCACCAGCAATCTCATGCAGCAAGCAGGCCATCACTGGAGATGCAGGTCACACCCACCTCCTAAACAGCAGCCAAGGCCAAGAAGTGTGAATAAGGAGACTCTCAACATGGATGAGTCTCAAACATAACATGCTGGGTTTATATGACTTCCATTTATATGACTTTCTGAAAAATACAAAGCAATAGGAACCAAGAGTCCCTGGGTGGTGTAAACAGTTAATGTGCTTGGCTGCTAGCTGAAAGGTTGGCAGTTCAAGTCCACCCAGACGTACCTCGGAAGAAAGTCCTGGTGATCTACTTGTGAAACATCAGCTATTGGAAACTCTATGGAGCACAGTTCTACTCTGACACACACAGAGTCTCGATGAGTTGAGATCAGATCGATGGCAACTGGTTAACTGGTTAGGAACCAAAAACAGCTAAGTGGGTGCCAGGGGCATGGGGGTGGAAGGAGTTGACTACAAAGGGGCATTAGGAAACTTCTTGGGGTGATGGATATGTTTGCTATCTTCATTGTGGTAATGGTTTCAGGGTGTACACGTATGTCAAAACATATCAGACTTCATACTTTAAATACATGCAGTTTATTGTTTGTTAATTATACCTCAATAAATCTGTTTATTAAAAAAAAAGAAAGGAAGGAAGGAAGAAAACTAACCTTACGATCATGAGCAAAATGAAAAATATATGCACCATGTAACCCAGAAATATAACTTTTGGAAGTCTATCCTTCACAATAAAAGATCCAGTCTTTAGGATACTGGTCCAATGACTTTTACTGCATCATTGCAGAGGCAAAAATCGGAACACTCCTGAAATTGTCCATCAGTAGGATAATGGTTGAATATACTATGGCAGAGGGCAGAGTGGCATTATGAATTATGTGGATACTACAAAGAAGAGTTAGGTGAATGTGCATTGACCATTATGTGAAACTAACAAGTTTCAGGGTAACGTGTATAGTATGATTCCATTCTGTGTGTGTATATAAGTTTGTACCAGCATGGAGAAAGGACACTCCAGGGCAGTTCCCAACAAGGGTAACACTGCCCCCTACAGGACACTGTGGAGATAAGTGTTGCAAAGCCCCAGAATCTAAATGGTCAATTACAGTTTTTTTCCCAGTGAAGTATACTTGAAATACATTTCACTACAAATTATTTTCCTGAACACTCTAACAAAATAGCTCTTATCGAGGTCACCAGTGACCAAACACTTGCCAATTCTCTTTTCTCATCTTACTCAAACTCTCCTCCATATTTCCCACAACTGACCACTATCCTCATCTTGAAACACCTTTTCAAGGCTTCC